GACATATCTAATGAAGGATTCGACAAACATGAGGATTGCGGCAACAAATCTGTGGAGGTATTTCTTCTCGTAGGAAGTTTTGCTCCAACAGTGCTCATTCCTATTTATGACACATCATTTAGTTTGCAAATTTGGTTTCACAATTTTATCTTCGTAACATTACCCGAACTATTTTTGAGAAAATAATTCTCCATCATCCCCGTGGACCGCTTATATCGGTTATCGCCCCTTGTGAGTATCGATGAGTGAAATGGACATCATACAGAAAAGGAAAGGACAGTTTTTTAAAGGAAGAAAACATTTTATTATATTTGCTATGCATGAAATTACAATGTTTATTCACGTTTCTTAACAAAAGTCTGCTTAATTATCCTATTTAATAAGAAATTAATATCAAGACCAGTATATAATAGTAATTATTAAATATAAGTAAAAACTCGTTTGGAAGTGTTTTTAGAATAACCGAAAATGTTTTACAAAATGTTTATGAGTACTAAAAGCACTTAAAGTGCTTCCTGTAAAAAACATCAGTTATGTGCTTCTTATAGGAAGTACTTCAAATATTTTTTCAAAACTCACTTGCATTTTTACTGAACCTTGATTCTAAAAATATTTTGACAAAAAACGAGCCATAAGTTATGAAGCACATCGGTGAAGTGGGAGCAGGGATGAGGGAAGGTTCCGCGATTTGTGAAAACTTAAATAAAATTTTCACTTATGGACAAAGCAAATCCTTGCACCACAATCCCTTTTACACACACATATGCATAATACTACTCGATCATAAAATGCGAACTAGCACATATTGATATATATATATATATATATATATATATATATATATATATGATTTATGGGAAGATCCTCTCCGGACCTAAACCCACCGGATCCTTCTTCTTTGAAGGCCAAGTCGGCGTCGTCGGCCTTCCCTGAGTCGGCTTCATGCTTCCCCGGAGATCTATTTTATGATGACGCGATCAGTTGCTGGGAATAGGCTGGAACAGAGGTCAGCGTTGGACATCTAGTCGTAGAACGTGATGAAAGCAACAGTAGCACCATCGTTCATGTACGCTTAATTTATAGACTGAGCTCAAGGTACCATTACCGATATGACTTGTCGCTGAAGCATTTGGTGGCTACTATGATCTCAGCCAGTGAAAATCGGCCGCATAATTCCTGCTACTCGCCTTCAAAGAAGAAGGATCCGGTGGGTTTGGGTCCGGAGAGGATCCTCTCCCATGATTTATCTAAAACGGCAATACGAAAGGTGAATCCTTGTTATTATTCACAGTTGGCTCGATCATAATTAATATGCTAAGTTTTTTTTTTATTTTTTTACTAGAAAACCTGACGATATGAGATAGATTTATTGATATAAAAAATAAGTTACACTTAGTTTGGAAAGGATAAAAATCTTTCCCTTCGTAAAGCAAGAAAAACAAAATACAAGAAAAAAGGAGGGACAGACATCTTACCCCTCTAGAAAAAAAGAAAATACAAGAAAAAAAAATACATAAGTAATTAAGCAAATTGACCAAAAAGAAGCACACTACATAAGTAATTAAGCAAATAATATTTAAGGCTAGTTATGGATTAGCAAATGGCAATCCAGAACCACTGAACCTCTCATCTATGATCTGATCCATACGTTTTGCCATGTCATCAGTGAAGAAGTTTTTCCAATCCCCAACTTGGCCTTTCCTGAAGAAATCACTGTTCTCGACTACAAGATTGGCTTTAACAAAGTACTGTTGCGTCCTGGAGGTTTTATTTATCTCCAAACTGCTCAGATTCTCAAAACTACAAAGCTTTATGATCTGCTGCACCACCCCTTTGCTCTCCTCCTCCTCTGAAAAAGGTTGACCCAAGAACTCAGCCAGTCTCTTCACATTAGCAAATGGCTCCTTCCTCAGATCCTCATATTTTAAGAACAAAACTTGCTCTGGCATTTCCAAGCTTGCTTTCCAAAACCCTAGCACATGGTCCCAATAGGGCCCGTATGGGCAGACTCCGCGGCAGAAAAGGTCAAATGCTTCCTCTAGTGAGAAGGGTGTAAGTCCTGTGTTTACTGCTTTAACTTTGCTCCCGAACTTCCATAAAGAAATGAATACATCTTTAGGGTTGCGGCAAACGTAAACGAATTTTAACACACCGCAAGTACTACTAGAAGTAGTCACAGATTTTGGGAACAAAGAGTAAGGCAGGTGGGTCGCAAAGAGTTGAGCTAGTGCTTGTAGGGATAACTATCAATCATAGCATCACCACTATCACGATCGTCGTGATGATCATGATCAAGTAAGGTTACGGAACGGCTGTGATCATGGTTTCCAAGCATTTTATCCATCTCCAAGAAAGGAAAACAGTCGTGGGGCCCAGTTGTGAGCAAGGGATGGTGAGGAGAGGCAGCATCATAGAGGCTTCTGTTGAGTGTAGCAAACATGAGTGCTCTAAGCCACGTCGTACCTGATTTCGGAAGTGTGGCTAAGAAGTACATGGGCAACGACCCACGGGCGGCGCTGGTAGAACTTCCGGTTGTTTGGAATAAGTTGAAATGGTGTTGAAGCTGCACGGCTGCTTTTAAGGCATAGGTAGGGGTTAGCCAGACCCCTTTGTACTGAACCAATTGTTCAGCGATCCAACCCTTCTCTTTCGGAAGATTTGGCAGCATTTCTCTACATATATCGGCATCAATTTTCCGGTAGGCTTCCCCGTCTTCCTTCACCTCGATATAATCGGTTTTAGGAACAATAGGTTGGGACGTCGAAGCTGAAGTCATTTGGGGGATAATGCAGGATATCTAGGTTTAGAAGCCCTACATATTCTCTAATATATAGCTAGTGATTCTAATGTAAGCAATGACGTGATTAATTAAAATATAAAAATAATGCTACGGTGATATATATAAATATATATATATATATATATTCTCTAATCAATAGCTACAAGTAATGATTAAAATATAAAAGTAATATTACAGTCACCAAATTTGTATATAAAATTTGTAAATTAAATTCTGTATCACTAATATGAATAAGCATGTAAATAATAACTCAATTATGAACTCTTATGTCATTTAATTTATAAAATTTGTATACAAATTTATGTTCTCTAACACTATTCAAAATATAAAAGTCTAGCCGGACTACGTTTATATGGAAAAAAAAAAAGGCCATCCGATCAAATGATTCGAACCTTCCAAATTTCATCCAATGATAAAAAATTATTACAGCTTTTCGTTGAGCTGTTGAATGAAATTTGAAAAGTTTGTATCATTTGATCATGTGATCTTAATGGAAAAGATCTGGAAATGATCTGTTTCCCGTTTGTATGGCTTTAATTGCCATCATTTTTGGGTCCCACTATTAATATAATTTAAAGAAGAATGCTGGACGGACTGGATTACTACGTGTATTTGCCTTCTATTGCCTTTATTATTGGGTCCCAGTCCAACTATAAATATAATTTAAAAATAATAATTTTTAAACGAAATTTCTCTCTCGTCCTCTATTCCTCACCCACTCTATTCCCCACCTTCTCTCCATGCAAATGAAACCCAGAAAGTTGTAAAAAATTTCTGGTTCCTTCCATCGCTCAGTATTTCTGGCTCAAGCGTCTCAGCGCCTCCAAAGACAGCAGCAATGTTTTCCATCCAAGAAATCAAATTTAATGTGGTATGACACAGCATAGCATCTCTCTCCGTTTCTGCCAAATTTGACAAGAACTTCAAATATTTTTAATTCATCCAAATCGGGCAAAGAGAGTTTGTAAAATTTGTAATACATAACATATTAAAGCCTCTGTTATTTCTTCCCCTTGTCATTTACATTTTCTTTTAATTTTACATTTTGGATTGTAGGAAATGAACAGATATGGATGTTCGTCCCCAATTCCTTGAAAGAAAGAGAAAATATACATATGCAAGCTCCTCACAAAAAAAAAGGGATTCGCCATGCGTAAAACATCCATTCTAAATATGTAACGAAAGTACATATATCAAGTCAATGTTTTTTCTATATTCATTTAATCCAATGATGCATCAAATATAAAAATTAAATTATACCTCTACTTTGTAACGTTTTGATTTTGTTTCATCAGCAGCTAAACCAAAATTTCGACAGTTCCCAGTATAATTATGTGAAAAACCAGATAGCAACACCATGTAAAAGTCATATTGGGTATCCACACCCACACCTATCAATTTACACATAAATTTGAACTTTGAATTACTTGGGTTTCAAAAATATTTGCACAAAATTTTAAAAAAGATGAATAAATTAAAACAAAGTAATATCTACTGGCAATTGAGACTGACCCAAACCTATTATCAAGCTCTGCTATGCGAAATAGAGACGGGCCGTGAAGAGAACTGTGCAGTATCGACAAAGTCTATAACAACCTAGAAATTTACCAAAGTCAAATTTACAGCCAAAGAAGCAATTATTTACTAAATTACAAAGAAAAATCTTCACAAAATAGTGTCTAGTTTTACAAATAAATGAAACCCAAATTAAATTTCTTGATAGATTAACTTATTAAGAAAAAACGTATGAATCCTACCATAAAAAAGATGTAAATTTTTGCATTGGCAAATGATTCATAATCTAAAAATGATATCTTAAACAAAATACATTAATCCAAGTCAAAAGTTTCCAAATTTAAATCAACTAATACGAACAAAATATAAAACATGATTCATTGTTTCTTTTTGCATTTTAAATCGCATGGTGTTTCCCAATATACTATTGTCTTAACATTTCATATACTCATGCATTAGATAAAAAATGATACCATGCTAAAATTACTTGGATTGCTTTATCACGGTTTAAGGAAGCAACCCCAAATCATAGTATCTACATATTTTTTCAGATTATCTAAAACACACTTAAGCAAAACCATCACTTCTCCAAAAACAAAGAAATCAATCTTCGAACACCAAACAAAGATTCAAACCCAGAGCTAGTGTAATTCACCAAAAAAATTGACAGAATCGATTGAAGAAAGTGCGAAAATTATTAAACCTGATCTTCTGGATGTGATGCGGTAGGGAGAAATCACATCAACCAGCAACCACTCATGCATCCATAATCTTCCAATACGCAAGAAATCGAAATAAAAATGGAGCTCCGAAAATCACACGAAACATAACTTAAAGTTGTGAATCAACATAGCACAGAATTCTGAATAGATCTGCTTGTCTAATAACAAATCAAATTGACAGTAGCAATTCTTTGTTCTACGTTCTTCCGATGATGATCGGGCAATACTGTTGTTAATGTAAATAAAGGTAAAGGACACAAACCTATAACAGCTAATTCAAATATATCCCTTTCAATATATAGACTAATTCAAAGATCTGCTCTTCCTGGATATATAGGGAAAGGAATAACATCTCTAATGTTGTCAATACCAGTAGCAAACAGAACCATCCGTTCAAATCCTAAACCAAAACCACAATGTTTGACAGCCCCGAAGCACAATAAGTCAATGTACCACTCATATGGCTCAGCAGCAAAGATAAAATCCTTTGCAACACATAAATGGAAACACCAAGTCATCCAGCACCAACACCATCCAAACCATAAAACAACGTAGCAAAGACACCAAAATTAAAAAATAAATAAATCCCACATATTCGACTTTCACATTATAGAAAACACAACTTTCACAATATTAAAAAGTACAGTTTGTTGCAGAAAATGCTCAAAGGAAAAAACCGAAATTATTTACCTTGAACATAATTGGCTTCCAAGCTTGTACATAGAAGCCCCAAAAAATGAAGAGCAAAGTGACCTGAAACAAACACAGAAGCAAATCATACAACCAAATAACATATCTAAGGATATAAACAAAACACCCAAAATTACAAAAACTAAATTCCAAAAAACGTAAAGCAACAGGTTCTGAAACGAAAAACACAAACAAATCATCGATCCAGACAACAGATCTAATGATATAAAGAAAATACCTAGAATAAGAAGAAAAAAAATCATCCACAAATCCCACCTCAACATGGAAAACTACTAGGAAAAAAAAAGAAAAAAAAAAAGGTCAAAAAATACTCACCAACAAAAGATGGTGGACCTTGGAGGTAAGGCCATATCCAACTGAAGGCTGGCCAGATGGCTCGTTTTAGCTATGTCACAAAATATCATCTCCAACCAAGGGCCAAAGGGTCATAGGGCTAAATATAATTTATTATTTAAATTTAAAAGCTACAACTTAAATTTAAAAACTATAAATTAAATTTAAAAACTACAAATTAAATTCATAAAAAATAAAATACAATTTGGCCCAAATTTTTTTTTTTGAATCCAACGGTAACTAGCCGTTGTATTTGAAATTTTGCCCTACTATTCTTGTCGGATATAACCAACAGAAATAATGAAAATTTTGGCCCGTGCCGGTGCTGGCTGCTTTGGGCCAGCCGGTTGGCCATTTGGCCCTTTTTTGTCCAGTGGGGCCCACAAGCCCTTTGGCCTAGCCCTCGGTTGGAAACGGTTTTCGGGCTATTTTTGGCCTTTTGGCCCTCTCGACCCTTCGGTTAGAGATGGCCTAACAAATCCACCCTGATAAAATGGAAAAACCAACCAAGACAAAAATTAATAGAAATAAATTATTGAAATTAACACCCAAATTCTAGAAATGAAGAAAAAAAAAAACCTTAATATGGAAATTGAAGCTTTACTTGCAGATCAGCAATGGCAAGAAGCTTTACTTGCAGATTTGCAATGGCAAACGACATCCAATGGTAGGGTACGTCAAGAGTGAGAGAGACAGAGCTGAGAGATGAGTGAGAGATGCAGAGAGAAGTCGAGATTTAAGAGTGATAAAAGCAGACTTTTGTGAGAGAGAAAAGTGAATACGGAAGGAAAAGTGGAGAAAATGTCGAAGCAGAACCTTTTACTGATGATCGATGCATGGGCAAGGTGGGAAAATCCAGAAGATGGAGCGATGATGAACGCGTGGGCGAGAAGGGTAAAGCGGCCCTTTTACTGTGTGAAAACGTAAAAAGCTGCAGATAACAAAGCAATCGGAAGACATTTTCGCCATTTTACTATTAATGAACAGTAACATTGTGTTTGGGTTTTAGTGTATATAAATGTGTCAATAATCAATGCTAAGCCCACTCTTCTACTCTTTTAATGTATGTAATTTCATTTGTTAAAAAAAAAAAAAAAAAAAAAACAGTCTTGGTCTTTTTCTTTAAAATTTTTTTTTTGGTTAGCTGCACGCCCTGTGATATGACATCAACATGGTGAATAATGTCATGTTTTGGTTTTTTTCTTTTTAATATTTTAATGTCTTGGTCTTTTTTTTTTATTAATTTTTTTCTGGGGTAGTTCCATGCCATATGATATGGCATAAACATGCTAATGCTTAATCGGCTGGTACGAAATATAAATTTTAAATCATCTTTGGATGTTAGTGTTCGAATTCCGACAGACTAGAAAATTCGAACTTTTGGCTTGTGTGAAAAAGAAATCGAATTCTTAATTTATATGAGGTGGGCTAGCCGAATGAATTAATAGGACGGTCGAATTCAATTTGAATGGTAGTTTCGAATATAATATTAGGAATGTAATTAGCAGATGAAACTTCGATGGCTGCGAATATTTTCCATAGCGCAAATGAAAGACCAACATCTCACATGGCACCATTCCTAACTTTAGACAAATTATATTTTCTATACTACAATTTCAGGTGGCTGTACCCCGCACAACTTATATGGTAGGATACGTATCCCATGGATGTAACCAAATAATAGTTGTGTATTGAAGACCGGCACTGTATTATCCGTTTTTCAACTTATAATACACTTCCATGACATCAATGTGTCCAAGTGTTTTGTGAGGAAACGAGTTGAAAGTTTGAAACTCGCATCAGAGAATTAAAAAAACCTTACATGATAAGAATTAGACTATTCTTCTATTGCCGACTAGTTCACTTCAGATTAACAGAAGTATACGTAATATTAACCAAACAGTTCAAAAAAGATCGGTAGAGGACGACTTTTGAATTGAACAGTTTCAATGAGAATTCAACATTGCACTGCAAGATAATGAAACATATCGGGAAAAAATCCAAAAGGAGGAGTCACTTCAAATGGATCTAGCAATATTGCATGGGCCATTAGTGTGCTTTCTTCGTAATTAAATATCATGATCTTTTTAAAAAGAAAAATCATTTCTAAAGTAGTTGAGTAGAGAGGGTATGTTAAATCAATAACCTGAATTGCATGCAACATTAATAATGGTGAATGGTGGGGTTATGACCTAAAGCTAAAGTTGCTATATAGCCAAAAGCGATAAGATTATCCGTTAATAAAATCTATCAATAATTCAGTTCAATTAATGCTTTTGCAAATGGATTTTCCAAACTGTTTAATTTTAGTTTATTTTACTTTTGCTTATTTCTTTAATATTTTTAATTAAATTCGTTTTTCTTATTTTAGATCTTAGAATCAACTTTCTTTTTCTTTTTTTTTAACTTTGTTTCAGTAATTAATTAAGATTTGATTTTTGATAAACTATTCATTCAATCTCTGTGCAGAACGACCTTGCTTGAGCTGTTATACTACGATTATCTTGTTCTCTTGCAAGTATTTTTAAGTGTTTTTATCTCTACTTTTGTAGATGATGAAAATCCTATCAATTCTGTTGATGGTAGCAAACATGAGTGCTCTAAGCCATGTTCTACCTGATTTTAGATATGTGGCCAAGAAGAAAATGTAGGATCCACAGGCGGCGGCATAAGTACTTGCAGTTGGCGCAGAAGCTTTGAGGAAGTTGGAATGGTGTTGAAGCAGCAAGACTACTTTCAAGGCAAAGGCAAGGTTTCGCCAGAAGCCATGGTATTGAACCAAGTGTTCAGTGGCCTAACCGATCTCTTTCGAAAGTTTTGGCAGTAACTCTACGTAGGTGTTTGGTAGACTTCCAGGCCTTCCTTCTCTTAATATAATTGGTTCAGGAACAATATTACGGGTAAGGATGACAACAGTTCGACTTAAGGACGGAAATGCTATATCCATCATCATAAATATGAAAATTAACCATATCCATAACCACAAATTAACCATGGGAGATTGTCCATAACCAACACCAGGTAACATCTTCGTCAAAAATAAAAAAAATTATATTCATCCAATTAACGCACTATAATTTAGTAGATACTAATTTCGTCATTAAATAGCTATGTCCAATAGTAAGAAGAAAAAAAAATGACAAACTTGAGACATTTGATATATAAAATGATTCAATGAATACATTTTGTAGGGTATAGAAATAAGAGTATTGATAAAACATTGATGATGTTGGCTGTTGATATCTCCCATAAACATGATGTTTGGTGCATAATGAATATAGTGTAGGCTTAGGTGAATACTATTTTATATATATATATATATATATATATATATATCTGTGTGTGTGTGTATTATATAATACCATTTTGTTGTATATAAATTATATTATATATTAATATATAATATTCGGGTCGGATTTGGAGACAGATACGGATTCGAGACCCCTTTAAACATTCCAAAACCATAACCGAATAGAGTTCACGGTTTTTCCCCATATCCATAATATACTTGAATTTTCATATCCAAATTCGTTCTATTTGGGCAGTTATTCATGGTTATCGAATTTAACGGTTTGAATTGTCACCCTTGATTACAAGGGCGTGACTTAGAAGAAGAAGGTTGGGACGAAGCTGAAGACATTTTGTGACATAACGAGAATGAGAATGATCTAGCTAGGTGTTGGTTCATTTTTAATATTAAATTAATTATAATTGTCATTATTTGGTGGTTAATGATAAAGTAAGTTTACTTGTCATTATTTGTGATTAGTAAGAAATTAAAATGTAGACTTATCTTTTAAACTTATTTTAAATGCTGACTTCACTAAATTTTTTATTGTGTTCTTAGACCAATTTCTTTCAGTGCAGTCAGCATATAAAATAACGATTGCAGCTAAAAAAGAGCGTGAGAACATTACAGTGATCAATCCAACTACCTTCAGAAGATAGCAAGGTGTATTTGATATCGATGAGTCAAAATCGACAGTTCGCGATCAAGATGCTGCTGCTTGCAAGGAAAACTCAAGTGGAATGTGGTTGCAGGACCACCAGTACAAGCAAAGCGAAGTGTCGATCTAAACTAGTAGGCTCTGCACAGATAATTCATTGTCAAGAATAACAGTTTTGGAAATAGAGAAAAAAAAACATAAACAAAATAACAATTGATATAGTATTTCGTTTCACCATATATAATATGATAATAAGTTATATATAATATGTTAATCAAACAATTCAATGATATTTTTACAAAAAAATTCATAGAGGATCGATGACTTTGGAATTGAACGGTTTCAATGAACATTTAACATTGCACTACGAGATAATAAAACATATGGGAAAAAATCCAAAAAGAGGAGTCATTTCGAATGGAGCTAGCAATATTGCATGGGCCAAGTGTGATTTCTTCATAATTAATATCATGATCTTTTGAAAAAAAATTCATTTCTAAAGTAGTGGTGTCACATCCCGGTCCAGGCTTCCACCACATCTCAGGCTCAACTTCACCGTAGCACGATATTGGCCGCTTTAGATCCCTACCACACCCTCACGGTTTTGTTTCTAGAAACTAACACAACACTTCCCTGTGGATCACCCATCCTAGAAATGCTCTCGCCCCATACTCGCTTAACTTCGGAGTTCCTACGGAACCTGAAGTTAGTGAGCTCCCAAAAGGCCTCGTGCTAGGTAGGGATAAGAATATACATATAAGGATCACTTCCCTAGGTGATGTGGGATGTTACAATCCATCCCCTTTAAGGGCCCGACATCCTCGTCGGCACACCATAGCCAGGGTTAGGCTCTGATACCAAATTATCACATCTCGGCCCGGGCACCCACCATATTTCGGGCTCTACTCCACCGTAGCATGATATTGTCCGCTTTGGCCCCCTACCACACCTTCACGGTTTTGTTTTTGGGAACTCACACGAGAACTTCCCAGTGGGTCATCCATCCTGGGAATGCTCCCGCCCCGTACTCGCTTAACTTCGGAGTTTCTACAGAAACCGAAGCCAGTGAGCTTCCAAAATGCCTCGTGCTAGGTAGGGATGTGAATATACATATAAGGATCACTTCCCTGGGCGATGCGGGATGGAACCCAAAACCAATGAGCTCCCTAAAAGCCTCGTGCTAGGTAGGGATGGGAATATACATATAAATATTACTTCCCTAAACTATGTGAGATGTTACAAGTGGAGTAGAGAGTGCATGTTAAATCAATAACGTGAATTGCATGAGCAGTACTAATGGTGAATGGTGGGGCTTATGAACTGAATGCTAAAATTACTATATAATAAAACTCTAATCAAGTCTGTATAAATAGGGTCACAATCACTATTCTTGTCTCCTAGGGTTTTCTTTTTTTCCGAAGAGAGAGAGAGAGAGAGAGAGAGAGAGAGAGAGATGCCTTCAGCCAGGGGCATAAAAATCGAGTCTGAAGCCGGAAACTGTGGCTGCGGAAAGTGAGGAGATGCATGCAAACACTACAGGAAGCTCGATCACGCCCAGAAAGACCGCAGGCTGTTGAAGAACATTGTTGAATTATCTATGTTTTGTACATCACTACTCTCGAAATAAGTTATGCGAGCAGTGTGTTAGTGTTTATATTAGCTTTTGAATGTCGAATTATCTACATTGTGTACATTTTTAATCGTAATGAGAGGATCACTATTTTAAATACTTTTTTTAAATAATTTAATTTGAACATCACACCAGAAGAATGTGCTTGTAGGTCATGTGGTTAATATCGTCTACACGTGCTGCATCGGCCCT